ATTATTATTGACATTCTTGTTCTATTCCTATTACAATTTTTACTAAAGATTTCAGCCTCTAGGTGTAACTGTTGCACAAAGTCCCCCTCATGTAAAGGTAAAAGTGTAATGCAGAGGGAAAGGTAATTGGTGTAATGGATTAACCCTCTCATGCACGAGATAAGTTTTAAGTTTAACAGTTCCAAGATCACATCTCTGAGACCCCCAGGGCAGGCGAGACAGTGCACGGTGAATATTTTTTTGGGCTTTATCAATTTCCCCCCAAAACTGGTTTTTAATGACATAAACCATACATCTTTGGCTTCATCACTGATTGCTCTGCAACAAAGGCGCCCCCCACCCCAAAAAAAAATATAATACTGTACAAGTATATAGCTATTTTTTTGTCACTTCTAATAAACATAAGAAAAAAAATACACACCAATATGTTCACAACCTCCTAGCTCAAAATTGTCAGAGCCAACTATTTAAGTACTAGGTACTAATAGAAACGAAATTTTATGAGCTTTCCAATGCAGTAATCAGATCTCTGATATGACTTATAGTTCTTGAGAAAATAGCAAATAAATGATTCTGAAATGGTAAAAAAAAAATTATATATTTTTTTATTATTTTTGTGCCAATGTTTTATATCGATATAAATTATATTGCATCTTGTAGCCAACACTATAACAAAGAGGATGGTACCTGTACTGACAAAATTCATGTATAAGTCTAGAAAATCATCCTCTTTGAGACTTTTTTTGAGACATTGTCACTTTAATGAGGTTGTTTAGCCTGATACGGTTACAGCTTTTGAAAACTAAACACTTTCCCTGTAAATATGAAAAAATATTACATTATTCAACCATCACTTCACTTCTCTAACAATAAATAAATTATTTCAGGGAGTAGGGTAAGCACTGTAATCCAGGAATTAATGCAGCCCACACAGAGTTATGGAAATTTAAATGGACACTGCTCACACTTACAGTCTGACTGCTGAGACAATACTGTGCATTTATTGTTCCATCTTCTCTTCCTATGGGTCACGAGAATCGCTAATTAGTTTATTTGATAGAACTTACTTGCATCATGCACTAGAGGGTTAATAGATTAACCTTGGCAAGAAGTATGGGGTTGCTTGTCTGAGGATGTAGAACCCATCAGAAAGTAGCTCTGTATTATGAACTGCCTGGTTGGAAACTGATCTTTTAATCTATGGTCAGTTAAATAGATCTAAATACTCTGTAATAAAACAACACTGGACATCAAAACCCTCCATTTTAAAAGTGACAATAAAAGTCTATTGACCAGCTGATGGATGTAGATCAACAACGTAATACTGTAGCAGAAACATTTCGTAAACATAAGTGGTCTTTAAAAGTACAGTAAGCCAAGGTAGACAGTAGCTGTTAGCCTGTAGAAAGTGAGAAAATATATTCCCATTCCTATTTCCACCTCACCCTAGTGATTTATGTTGTAGTGTTAACATTAGAAGATAATGAAGGCTAAAATAACAGACAGTTCTCAGCAAAACAAAAGACAAAAATAAACTTGAAGGAAAAGGCTGACCTGAATGAAGAAAAGCTGGTGCTGCAGATGAAAAATCCAAATACTACAGTACTGTACAGTGGTCCCTCGGTTAACGAGCACAATTCGTTCCAGAAGGTTGCTCGTTAACCGAAACCATTGTTTCAATGGGTTTTTGGGTAATTGGTTCCACCTCACTGAAAATTACATTCAAACTAAAAATAAATGCAGTAAAGTACACTTACTTTGAGGTGTGCATGTAGAAGGGTCCTGGTTGATGATGATGGGAATTAGAATGGGGTGGAGGAGAAGGGAGAAGAGAAGTCACCCCATGCCGCCATTTCACCCATAAAATTTTAGTTCACTTGGTGTAATTCAAGATTATTTTCTTTAAATCAACACTGCACTATATATTATCAATATGTAAAATATATTTCAAAATGACCAATAATTTGACTGGAAACACAGATAAAAAGCGTTTATGTTGAAGAGTCTCAAACAAGATGTTCCTTCCTCTGAACTGGTAAACAAACTGACGCCAAGCTTGGTGTGTTGAGTGGCTGTTTGGCGCACAAAAAACTATTTTCCTGTACTTCAATTATGTTCAATAATTGTTAAAATGACTAAAAAATGTAATACAGTACAGTGGTCCCTCGGTTAACGAACACAATTCGTTCCAGAAGGTCGTTCGTTAACCAAAAATTTCGTTAACCGAAACCATCGTTTCAATGGGATTTCTGAGCAGGGACACAAACTGTCGCCATTCTGGGTGAGTCAAGTGGCTGTTTGGCGCGCTAAAAACTAGTTCCCTGTACTTCAATTATGTTAAATAATTGTTAAAATTACTAAAAATTTTAATATAAGACTTGGAAAATTATTGAATAGTACAACCTTCTTGATATTTACTCAAATGGTAACGAATTTAAGCCCTACAACCGATTACTGTATTGGCGGACTAATACTACAGCTGGTGAGCAGCCGAAAGCAGACAAAAACATGTTGAGAAAATTTGTAAGGAATTCGTTAACCGAAACTTTTTCGTTTACCGAAGTGAAGATTCTTATGGAAGGTAATTCATTAACCGAAATTTGTTAACCGAGGCGTTCGTTAACCGAGGGACCACTGTATTAATGTAACTCAACATTATTAATAATTCAGTGTGTTTGATATGCAAAAATATTCCTTTGGGCTCAGTCACAGCTTCACAACAGTGTGGAGAGCAAGTATGTTTTTATGAGCAATTTGATATTTCTTCCTTCATATTTACAACTTGAGACAAGAAATATGGCATAATTTAATATAATAGAGGTTCATGTAGTACAATGCTACAGTTTAGTGTCAAATAAATTTATACACAAAGTTACATTTCATTTTAAAAGATCCTTTCTAACATTTGTTGTTTGTACATGATGCAACATTACTCAGTTACTCCTTAAAACTTGTGTCTAAAAGGTATGACAGCAGATAACTTCATATTAGCAATTACAATTGAATCATCTTGGAATGGAGTAGTAACAGATTTGCTGTAGTATTTACTGGAACTACAGTATTTGCAATTATCCTGTTTATTTCCATCTGGTGGAAACAAGTTCCTGTACATTACTCTGAAACATCCAGTTTCTCTGCCATAAATGGGTTTTGTTTTAAATACAGTATCCACAAAGAAAGTTTTAAAGCTTCTCCATTATGTAATTTATTACACTAACATGTGTCAACACATTGGTGACAGTTATGATAAGGATTTACTCAAACCAGTGATGTACAGTACAGTGTACAACATATTCTAACAATAGCAAATGTATTAAGAAGTCGACTTAGTTTGCAAAGTGAATTGATATGAAGCATTAACAAACAATGTCACTTGGCATATTCTGTATGCAAGCTGAGGACACGAGTATGTTCGTGCATAGTCATTACAGTATGCTTGTTGTCTTGTACCTTTGCTGTCACTTTTTACACTCATTTTGCATCCTTCTCCCCTACTGTTTCCCTCCTTTATATCGAGTGTCTGTTACCCCTTAATCCACCAATAAAAGCAAAGATAATAGTAAACAGATATTAAATGTGCAAGATAATACAATGACAATTTTTCTACTTCAACTCCAGATAGAACATATGTTGTTATCTTTTATCAACTTAAACTACCTCCAGTCTCCATGCCTGTACAGTACAAGTAAACTAAGTGCACATTGGCAAAGTGCCATCTTACATCAGGTAGTGATTCTTTCACATGTTGACCATGAATCTTCACTAAGAACACAGCACTTCTAGAGGTCGTCATGGGGAATATACAAGCCAAGTATAGTATGAACACTGTAGCTCCTTGCATATTGGTCATTTGGCTGGGATACAGTATTTCCAGTTTCTTTTATGGTCAGATCCTTGAAATACTTTGTGAAAAGCATAAATCATGAAAGGTAATTACATAACAATTACATAAATGAAAAGGTAAAAAGACCACCTGAGAACATATGAGATATGGAAAACTTATTGAAATAATAGATAAACAGTACACTGTACACAGAACATGGATAATTAAAAAACAAATTAATATACTCTTCTGAACTCTCACCATCACACTGTTAAGACCACATTTGCTAGTGATCTTGCTAACTTACAAATTAGCTTTGAATCTGCATGAAAAAATTTTTTAACTCAAGGATACTCACTCTTTTCTTTCCTCACTCAGTAGGGATGTGGCTGGAAGGTGATGATGGCCTTATCTCCACTCTAGGAGCAAATACCACAACATTGGAAGAAGATGAAAATCCCAGAACAACTACAAACACAAACTCAACTCTGAACGAGGGTAGATGAAGTAACTTACAAGTGATTCAGCCATCCAAACATGCCATTACACTGATGACATTATTTATTTCAAGTCAACAATTAAGTTCATTAAATGTACACAAATTTCAAATTAGAACATTAGTAATTGTTATTTGGTAAACTTACTTGTAGCTATAATATTTAAAATCCCAAATGAACACAGTGAAAATAACAAAACTATTGAAAAAAAAAGCATAAAAATCATTTGTTTTGGATAATACAATGGTCATATCTTTAGAACACTGCCTAAGGTAAAATGCTTTAGGTTGTGCTCAAAGAATATGGTAAGTTGTGCATACATTATTTTCAGCTTTAAAAGTGCATTACCTTACACAGATGAATAAATGCGCAGATTAATATCAATACCGAAATCCGTTTTTCTTTACAGGAAATATGAAACCAATAATCCAATTTTCGACTTAATTTCTATCACTATACTGTATTGACTGCTATGTATACAGTACAGTGATGCTTGTATAGGCCATATTTGTGTATGATAAGTTCACAAAAACTACGGGTATTATTGTACACAGATCATTACATACACAAATACAGATGGCACTGACCACTCTACTGATATGATCCACTTGACATGAGTACAATACAGTACAGGGTAATTAGGAAAAAAGTTCCTAAATTGTGTTAAGAAAACTATGAGGTAGAAGTTCATATTTACTTTTTCATTCAGACATTCAGGAAACATACATAATGTAATCCATGTTTATAGTATTAAATGTTATTAAATAATCTATTTTCATCAAAAATCTTAATAAAGATTATCATCATAAATTAAATGTTAAAAAAAAATTTCCATTGAATTTTAGTTACCAGAGCTGAGGAAGGCAAACTGCCCCTTTGAACATCTGTTGGCAAAGTGTCCCTGTTGCCCACACTGGAGGAAGAGAAAATATACTCTTGTTAGTATTTCAATGCAAGTTAGGGATGTGAACAAGAATATATGGGTATTTCTAGTTGTTTCAGTCCTTTCCTGTTACTGTAAACTTGTCATTTACAACTCTCCCTTATTATTTCCCTCCTTTCTAATCCCTTGACCCATCCTACACAATAATAAGATATGACAAAGTTAAAAGATAAACTCATGCAAATGGGAATGGATCAACTGTCTGTGGTTTGATATACAGTACAGTATCCCTGTCCTAGTTATTGCTAAGAGGACAAGTAATTTCACCTGGTGTCAGATTAGTCAAGGGAAAACACATGATAATGGAATATTTGAATGTGTGGAGGTACATTTATCATGGTGATATGGAGATTTAATTAAATTATAACGTGTGAAAGGACCCTCAATGTCATTCCTCTATACAGTGGTCCCTTGGTTAACGAGATTTCGGTTAACGATTTACCTTCCATAAGATTCTTAACTTCGGTTAACGAGCAATCCCTCGATTAACGAGTTTTTACGAGCCGACTTCAACATGTTTTCGCTTGCATTTGGCGGTCCACCAGCTGTAGTATTAGTCCGCCAATACAGTAATCGGTTTTAGGGCTTAAGTTCCTTACTATTTTAGTAAATATCAAGAAGTTTATACTATTCAATAATTTTAAAAGTTTAATATTAACTTTTTTAGTCATTTTAACAATTATTGAACATAATTGAAGGTAAAGAAACTAGTTTCTGGCGTGCCATCCAGCCTGTTAACACACCAGACAGGCGTTAGTCTCTCTCTGTTTTCAGTGGAGGTAACATCTTGCTTGAGACTCTCTTCAACTAAACGCTTTTTTTCTGTGTTTCCAAGCAAATTATTGGTCATTTTGAAATATATTTTACATATTGACAATATATAATGCAGTGCAGTGTTGATTTAAAGAAAATAATCTTGAAATACACCAAGAGAACTAAAATTTTATGGGTGAAATGGCACCATGGGGTGACTTCTCTTCCACCCCAATGCCTTCTCTTCTCCCTTCTCCTCCACCCCCATTCTAATTCCCATCATCATCATCATCATCATCCAGGAGCCTTCTACATACACACCTTAAAGTAAGTGTACTTTTCTACCTTTTTTGTTGAATTTAGGCAATTTTCGGTGAGCTGGAACCAATTACCCAAAAACCCATTAAAACAATGGTTTCGGTTAACGAGTTTTTCGGTTAACGAGCAACCTGCTGGAACGGATTGTGCTCGTTAACCGAGGGACCACTGTATCTATAACAAGAAACTTTACAATTATTTTCTAAAAATGACACTCAAAAAATCATTAATTTACTTATGAATAAAGGTAAAATTATCAGGGAAGTGGAACATGTCACCAGCTGGGCAGATAATCATATATCAATAATTCCTTGAACCATTAAACTATCATATCCAGATAAAAATAAAAGATAGAGGAATAACATGAGTGTAAAAGATAGTACAGCAGATACCCAGATTAGATATTAGACTTTAATGTAAAGGACTGTAAATTATGCGGACATGTCAAAATCAGAATAAATTAGTTTTAATCTTTGAGTCACTAGAAATGCTCACAAAATGTATATGTTACTGTACAAAATAACATAAATCACAAGAATATCAAATAACGAAATGTCTGTCACCTTGAAACAAATGATGTTGTCCAAGCGATTGTTATCAATGTGGTGAGGTATAGGAGGGCCGGAATTCTCTTTGCCTGGCTGGTTCCTCGGTCCACCTGAAGCTAAACTCTGCAATAAAAATGAAATGCATGAAATATTAGGCTTAGAAATGACTAACTGATAACATGATGCCAAACACTCCTAAGTATTATCCATAAACTTTAATATTTTAATGAATCTGAGGCTTGTCTTGATCATTTTAAACTTGACAAAAACTTTCCCTTTAGTTTGAATTGGCTTAAAATACTTTGTCTGAAATTTCGAAGGGATTGTTGACAAATTTCAGTGCTTAATAATAACTTTCCCCTTAATACAAACTCCTTAAAATCTTCAAAAAAATCAGTACAGATATTTAGTAAGCATCTTCTCCGTGTGTACACCTAAGTTCATACGGGTAATTACAGTATTTAAAAATGTAATCCTAACCTAATGAGTCAGAATCTTTCTAATAGACAGTTTAGGTTAGATTAGATTTGGATTAAGTTAAGTTAGGATCTATCAGGATTAGGCTCACTTAAATTACATCATAAATACAGTAATACAGTGGATACCTTTCTCCCTTTGATGTTGATATGCTGTGGTCACAATCACATTGTACCAAAACCACCCACACTTCCCTAAGTCTGTCCTACCCGTAAGTGCACTACTCTCCTACACACAGGCTTGGAATGTCCTGATGACCACAATGGCAATGGGTACATTTGCCTTCCAACTGGCTATGATGTCCCTCAGGAGAAAATAACATCCATTTCGTGAATTCCAGGCCTGCATTCTGTTTCCTTTAACTGTATGTCATCTGAATATTCTTCTATTGTTTTTTTGTTTTGTTTTATAGAAATTTTTATATAGTTTTCCCTAAAGAGTGTTACAGGGATTCCCAATTGACTGCAGAATTACTCACAATTATTGCATTTTGTTCTCTCAGTTCTGGATTAGCCCTGTAGCAGTGAGAGGCTTTGTGACCAGATTCCCCGCAGTAGTGACAGGTGATACCCTGTTTCTTGTGTGGTAGCTGCTTGTCGTCCATCACCTGTGGCAGCTCAAACCTCGGGCTGGACGTGAAATGAAAAAACAATCAGAATGTGATGAGTGATATGAAGAAAATGAATTTGAAATGGATTAATAAGAAAAACATGGTTTGGTCAGATTCAGCAAGAACAGGTTAAGTAAGGTTGGTGTATGCAAATGGAAGAATACAATGCTGGAGACCAAGGAAGATCAGTGAAAATATCTAACAGTGCATGAGTTAATGGAGGGATAGTGTACGACGGCATTAAGGATATCATTGAATAATTATGTATGAATCACAACAACATTATATACTGTAGGTAATACACAACTGCAGCAACAACTTTATACATTAAATAATGCTGTAAATTATTTCCAATACTGACCCAACTGGAACTGCCATGGTCAATGCTCATGATGATGATACTCCGTGTTCCATTATTGAAAATCCCAGTAGATTGTACTTTGAAAATGATCATCTTAGTTTTGATGACAGAGGTAATGTACAGATTTCTGAGGTAAAAGCCATCATAATGGATACCAAAATCAGACCACCTTGTGAAATAATAAGAATGTAAATACAATGCCCAAATTGGACTGCCTTGTTTAGTAATTAAGATGTAAATAAATTGAAATGGTTACATGAAAAAAGAAGACACGGTTATAAATGATAACTGTCACACTGTCTGGTAACTTCAAGAAGAATAAAACAACAGTATCAAGTTGAGCTCTGCTGGTATTTTGTTACTTATATTCACACACAACATGAGATGTCACCAATAGTATGTTAGGTTGCTAAGCACAGCAGTCCAAAATATGGCCATAAACTGCTTCTTTTAGGCTAGTTATATACAGTACAGAAGAGTATTGTATTTATCTCAGTGAGTTAGTCACGCTCGGCACTGTATTGTATTTAGAGACATGATTAATGGAGCTAAGATATAATAAATTGGTAGATTGTTAACTTCAATCAATTAGATAAAAATATTCAATCATAATTACATTTCACCACTAAATTTGAACTGTACACTACAGGTAATGTCATTTATTGGTGTGTTTTTTTATAAAATAAAATTGCAACAACAATTTAGTTATCTGATGTAAGATATTAAGTAAAATATTTACTGTATGAATTTCCAAATTCACAGCTACGCAACAATTTAATTATTCGATAACAGACTATAAGATACTCACTGCATGAATTTGCAGCCTGATCCCTCTGGACAGAAACCCGAGAAATAGTTCATGCAAAGAACCCGCCGTACGTGACGATTTCGACACTGAGGACCGTGACGGCAAAATCCTCTGTCATACCATGGACAATCCTTCATCTTCATATCTGGGTTTATGTGTAAGAATGGGCACTCTTTGTTGTGGCAGGCATCTGTGGGCAGGTGTGAAAAATTATTACTGTGCTGTACAGTACAGGTATTACTATTACAGATATAATAATAAAAAAAAATACATGCTTGTTCAGTACTGTACAGGAGTATTTCTAAATGAGACCATCTGAATCTGGCAATACTTACTGAAACGAGAGTAGAAGTAACACTCTGGCATTTTTGACATATCATACTCATGGAGGAATTCACACTGGTCACCCTTCTTGCATAGTCCACGCAGCCAGTGTTTACACACCACTGTTCTGTCTCCTCGAACATGACGGAATGGGCAGTTGACACTTTTGCTGCAGTTCCCACGCATATAAAATGTACACACTGCAGCTATGGATTCTGAAAAATTAAATGTCTATGAAATAGCTTTTCATACCAATGTATACCTATTAATTTTTACCTTAATTTTAACATTTATAACCAACCTCAGGCTATTTGTAACAAAAGAAGTTGAACAGCTGTAAAGGATCCCATGAATTAAGCTTTCAGCAATTATGCAAGGGATCCTACTTTCTGATAGTGAATAAGATGCCTATGCTCATCCCACCCTCAACAGTACTTGCCTCTAAAAACAGGTAGATAATAAAAATATTTAAGGATCTGTTATATATGATCCAATCCTAGAATCTTTAACATTCTAACAACTGTACTGTATCTGTATTACACGTTCTGCTCTACAACAAAACTGTAAATAATCTCTGGGGTAGACCCTAGCTTACTGGTTACAAGGGAGAAACTATTTGGTGTGTTGAAGGCAAAGGTGTCCAGGAATGAAGTAGCAGTACTTATTACTTTACTTAGCTAAGTAACTTTCTGGAGGAATTGAATACAGTACTAAAAAGTAGCTACAGGGTACCTTAATTTTTTTTTACCTTTACTTTTATTTGAGTAACTTTTCAGCTTGATCAATGTACTTTTACTTTGTTACTTTTGTACAAGTCTTCTCAGTACATTCGAACATACTGTACTGTACCCGCTGTGGGTTGAATTTGGATAAACCAATCAGAATCCTTGCATTTGATTATTCCCATTATCTTCAATATGAAAATGTCACACAATCCTGGCTATAAAAATTAGATGGGTTGCTTTTCATTAGTGCACCAGGATTAGTCACCTATCAGTCAGGTGAAGGTACCAGTAATCTACCTCCATTACCAGTACTGCAGAGTACTACGTTAAGCTTAGTCGCAGTCAATGAGTGTCAACATTTCAAAGGAACCACCAAGCTGAGTGGCTCTACATGTGATAAGAATCATGAGCTCATGGGATACGAGTTACTGCCACTAACACAAGATTAGGGGGGACGGGGGGGGGGTGTAGTTAGGGTAGGTAAGGAGGATGACGTGGCCGAGGGAAACAATGAGCATGCATGAGGCTTCAATGTGGTCAATGAGGAAGAGATGGTTGTCATAATCACTAGCAACTTCTTACTGACAACATCTTCCATCTGGATTAGGGACACAAGGTTTTATAAGGTAAAGAACACTGCTCTTTGTGAAGATTTTGTCATAGATATTATTGCAGCTTGCTTTAATCAGTTTACAATGAATATGACGAGAATCTACCTATCCTAGGATGGAAGTATATTATTATTATTATTACAGGCAGTCCCCAGGTTACGAACATCCGACTAACGAACATCTGCCTTTACAAATGAGGTTAAATTTTAAATTTACATTATTTTATTTATCTGATTTTTTTTTTACTTTCATTTACTGAATTTTGTCATTCACTTTCTTTTCTCTCAAATTAAGTGATTTTAGAAGTAAGTACAGTATGCAAATAGTACGTGTTCCAACTTACGTACATTTTAGATTTAAGAACGTCCCAGGAACGGAACTCATTCGTAACCCGGGGACTGCCTGCATTATTATTTTACTTGAGAATAAGTAGGTTATATTTTGTTAAGTAGGTTTGTTTAGAAAGGAAGGAAGGTCATGTTCATTATTTGTTGGCTGGGTACAGTAGTGTTTCTTCTCTGAGCATTCAGGGTCAGTTGGTCATTGTGCATTGCATTTGCCAACAGTCACATGAAACTATCTTTATTTAAGGGAAAAAACCTGAATATGAAAAGTGCTTCTCCTCCACCTGATTTGCTTTAGTCTTGAGATAAAAAAACACACTTCCTTTTAGCGAGATCTTTCATTCGGTGGCTGGATAACCCGGATCCTTGTCCTTTAACATTATCCCCAAATTAGTAAAAATCGTGGATTTCTGTGGATTCCATTACATGTTGGGTTAGTACAAAATAATATTGGTTAATCTCATTAAGAATGCCTATGGTCTTGCTCTCCCTAATGCTGGATCTACACCCTCCCTCCTGTGCTACAGAAAGAGATTATGTTCTCAACCTCTTGCTGCTTTTCTCCCTACAACCCAAACCCATCACAGGATAAGGAAAAGCCTGGTAACCTATCTATTTGACACAATGATCAGTTTCTTCCGTTCCAATACAAGTATCGTCGATGTGGACTTATGATTCACAGACATAATAGTGTCTGAGCTCGCATTAGGCTGGGATACAGACCTATCTGGCAAGTTTTTGAGGTGGATGATGTTCAGCACTTCTCTTCCCCCAAGCAGTGTTACAGTCCCACACGCAATACTCCTTAGGATTATTGCCTTGATTGTCTCACTGTCAGGGACCTGCTGCCACAGGGAGAGTCACTCATCAAAGTAAGTCACCATTTACCTGCACATGATAATTTAGATGTACTTCAGGTACACTGCCCACATTATGGTGGTGCTGGCGGTTCTCTTGTTGTCACCTAAGTTGTACCTTTAAGTTAGCAGTAATTTGGGAAGACCAGCTTGCTATTTAATATTTCTCCTGTTGTCTTCTTATGCTGTGACTGGCTGCATGTTTTCTGATGAATCTATCACCCTTTGAGCATAATTTATTAACTAAAAAAATTTAAATATAGAATACCTTTAGTATTAAAACACTTTTCATAGTGTTAACAAATAGCCACAGGATAAAGATACAGCAACCTATGTGAAATACCTATGTCTACCAACCATATGTGAAATACCTATGTCTACCAACCATATGTGAAATACCTATGTCTACCAACCATATGTGAAACGCCTATGTCTATTGGTACGGCAGCCAAATGCACATGCATGGTGGGCAGACTATACATAATAGCTACTAAGATGCCCCTTCTTTCTGACTAACCTAATCAAATGTAACCTAACCTAACCATTAAAATAGTTTGTCAATACGGCTGCCGTACCTATATCCACTACATAGTAAATAATCAGTGAACACTTGTCTGGTGAATTTTATAGAATATCTGTTCCTCCAAATACCTATCTCTCTCTCTTCTATCTATCGCTTCATACGCCACACACTCACTGTCCATGCCAGGGAAGGGCAGTGTCTGAGCCCCCACTTGTTCCTCCAGCTGGGTCTCCATGTCGAAGGTCATCTTATCCACGTTAGCCACAATCACCTCCATCTTGGTCGTTTAATCATATATTTATCCCAAATCCACACAAATTCTTCACAGTTAAGGCCACCACAGCTACGACAGCATCACCGACCTCTTGTTTGTTTACCTCTGGCAGAATCATATTAGGGAGTGAGACTACTACCGTCATCTACCTTACTAATATATATATTTTTGTATTTTATGTATTGTATTATTTCATATAGCTGAATGTATAGATTATATGTAAATATTGATGAACATATAGTGGTTTATCTGAAGAAGTTATTTGGTTTTGGTTTAATTTGTTTAAAATATCCCATGTAGGAACTATTAGAACAGTTTTGTATACCGTCAACAGATGGCGGGAGTAGCCTCTAAGACACGACTGTATATGAATACTGACAGATTTAACTTTTACTTGTATGTATTTAACTTACCTCGAGTGATCTGGATATACTCCTAGACGTTTAGATCCTACACTCTATATAGAATCTTCGGGTATTACATAACAAAACTTTTAAAAGATTATCCACGGTGATTGATTAGGTAAGGTTAGGTTAGGTTATGTTGAATTAGAATAGGTTGGGATTTGGTTAAGGTTAGGTTAGGTTCGGTTAGGATAGTTTAGATTAGGCACAAGAGAGAGAGAGAGGGAGGGAGAGAGAGAGAGAGGCGTGCGCGTGTGTGTGGTGGTGGTAGAGGTGAGATAGTGAGACACCAACAGTAGTACCGTGGCGGGGTGTCCGTGCGTGTGTATGTGGATCCGCTCCCCCGCTTCTGTTAACGGGTGCCTTGACTGCTGTTAACATTTGCTTTCCATAAGGTGAGTGTTATTGATCCATTGTTGCTGTTAACGGGACTGTTTTTACTGTAAACGGGGATTTTTTTACCGTTAATGAAACTTTTTATTGTTAACGCAATTGTTGGTTAAAGAAACTTTGCTGTTAACGGGACTGTTTTTACTGTTAACGAAATTTATTACCGTTAAATTTAAAATTTATATTCGCTATTCATAAAGTGGGTGTTACTCCTCTGTTGTTACTGTTAACGGGAGAAGTTGATGTTAAAAAGTTGTAATTTAAGATAATTTTCACGAAATCATTGATACACTTCCGTTTTTGCTGTTAACGGGGCTGTTTTTGCTGTTAATGGTGCTCTTATTCAGTTCCCTCTGTGGTAGTCCTCCGTTGTTACTGTTAATGGATTTTACTGTCTTTGGTTCTTGCCCTTTCTGTTAACGGCTGTCATTACTGTTAAAGGGTTTATTGTTGCTATTTTTCGGATCTTTTAGTTCAGTTAAATAATACGGCTATTAGCGGACCTACTATTGGTAATGGCTCTCTCCTGCTGTTAATGGATCTCTTTTTGTTAACGGATCTCTTGCTGTTTACAGGTCTGTTGCTGCCGTTGACGGATCTATTGCTGTTAACGGCTTATTACCGCAGTTGGCGGGTCTTACTGTTAACGGGTCTGTTTTTCTTAACGGTCCTTGCTGTTAACGGACCTGTTTTTCTTAACGGTCCTTTCTGTTAATGAATTCCTGCCGTAAACTTTTATCTCCGTTGTCAGCGTTAAGGAACCCTGTTGCTGTTGCTGGCTTGTTAACAGATCTACTGTTACAGCATATATTTTCTGTTAAATATACTTTCTGTTTACGGACCTACTTCCTCTTAACGGTTCCACTTTATGTAAATTGACCTTTCTGTTAGCCTTGCTACTTCTTGCTACCTGAACTACTTTCTGTTAACAGATCGACTTCCTGTTAACCGACCTACTTTCTGTTACTTGACCTACTTTCTGTTAACGGATTTAATTTCTGCTAACGAATCCACTTTCATTTAAGAGATATTTTTGTCTATTAAATCTACTTACTGTTAATTTATATATTTTTGGTTAACGAAACTACTTTTAATTTACGGCTCCACTTCGTGTTAAATACTAAAAAAAAAATTGGAACGGGTCCATATTCTGTTAAATCTATTTTTTTAAATATACTTCTGTTAAAGGATCAAGCCTGTTAACAGGTCCATCTTCTGTTAAATCTACTTTTCTGTAAACAAATAAACTTCCTGTTACCGGATCCACTTGCTTTTAACCGTCAACGGGCCCGCCTTCTGTTAAATCTACTTATTTTTAACAAATATTCTATTACCGGAAGCACTTGCTTTAAACCGTTAATGGGCCCACCTTCCGTTAAATTTACCTTCTTTTAACAAATATACTTCCTGTTAACATTTCCACTACCTGTTAACGGGTCTGTTGCACATGTAAGTACTCTTCAAGAAAAAGGCTTTAATTGAGGTCACTAGACATAGGAGTTCAAGTACATAGTTTTATTAATTAGAAATATATTTAAATGCCTTAGAGTTATATGCAAATTACCTTCCGTGTATAATTAAATGTGAAATAGCTGAAGTGATATTGATGACTAATGGTAGTGGTGGAAATGGAGTGCGGTGGTGGTAATAGTGGGGGTGGTGTGGTAGTGGTGGTGATGGTAATGGGGTGCGGTGGTGGTAATAGTGAGGGTGGTGTGGTAGTGGTGGTGATGGTAGTGGTAGTAGTAGTTGTAGTGACGGCATTATTATTATTATTAGTAGTAGTAGTAGTAGTAGTAGTAGACGGTCTCTGTAACACTAAGACAAACTAAAGTGAACGAAATGAAATAAAACTAACGAAGCCACCATCCCTCTCTCTCCTCAACACCAAACATGATCTTCAATAACTACCTACAGGAAATAAACACTATACAAAAAATATGAAATAAACGCCAAAAAACCCTCAAAAGTAAAAAAAAAAAACATGACATATTAAATAGCTTTGCATTGAATCAAAACATTAGAAAAAAGGCACGCCGAAAAAATATTAAGCATTTAGGTAAAACACACACACACACAAAATACAAATGAAATAAAAACACGATGAACTTAAAACAGCTCAACGTTGAACCAAAACAGTAACTCTGAACTGCACTTGATGCAAATTGCTGAAATTAGGATTTGCTGGAGTGGCCGGGCGGGTTTAAAGCAAGTTACGGCCGTATGCGCTTCACAAACTGGGTGGCGCGGTTAAGTGGTGAGTATTTCGCACCTAAGAGAGACGCTGCCGAGCATTTACCAAATTCTCACACTCCCGTAATAATAATTCTTTTCCTTTTTTTCTCCTTTTTTTTAGAGCGTCGTTAGGGAAGGAATGGAGGAAAGAAATTATATGGTAGGAAGATAGTCTCGGGTGTAAATTGGACGCTTTTTTGAGGATGCTGTAAGAGGATGTAGTACACTCGACGCCATGTTGGAGATGAGAGGATGTTCTGTAGTAGCTATTGTAATAGAATCTCTGAAATAGTTTAGACGACATTATTAGGTCTCGTCGCTGTGTTTATGTCGTAGATTAAATGGGTCAGTTAGATGGCGTTCCCGTGTTCCCAGTTAACTGGACGTTAACGCATTTAGAGAGAGAGAGAGAGAGAGAGAGAGAGTGTCAGTCACTTCCAGAGGCTGACACACACAATTCAGGAAGACGCGGTTGATATATGAATATTCAGGCAACACTCTCCCCCTCGCTTTACCTTAATAATATTTCCTTTACTACACTAAATAAAATAAATAAATAATAGATCTCAAAATAGCCATGGATGAATGTACCCCCCAATTATATGTTCATGTTACCAATTTTTCCAATGTAACGAAGAAAGAACTGAAAATATACAGCGTCCCCTTTACTTATCTTTAATCATTTTCTCTCATGTATGTGTTATAAAGGAATACTAAAAACTCAAATAATCAATAAATAATACACAAACAGAGAATAATTTTAGTTCTGTCATTCCGCCAAATCCAACTTGCTTTGATATACGTCCTGTGTTTCGCTATGGTATACTTTCCCGCTCAAATATCAATCGCTTCACACACAAACACATACAAACGTTATCATTTTTATAGTTCCTTGAGTCAATATTTTCCGAATTTGTGTAGTTCGCTGTAATTGGGTTAACTTAAAGTCTTTCACAGAACCATAATAAAAGTTTAAGAGGGCCAACAATAGGGGATTCTAATTATTGTTGTGACTAGAGTAATTACTAACCTTGTTGACGCGCTTAAATACCTTAGTTGTTGAAGCGTAGTAATAACATTATAACGTCAACGACACAGATTACTGATTAATCTCTGCCACGCCACAACAAAGTCCAAGAGGCCATAAATAATATACAGTACATACACTAATACACACAGAATCTGGCTACAATCCCTACCTATGAACTAATTATTATTATTGTTATTATTATTACATTTTCGCCCCCCCCCCAACCCCAGGCCCCGATGTGGGTCAGTGACCTGTGCCCGGGTGGGCTAATCCCCCCCACCCTAAATATATATATATATATATATATGCAAGTAAATCACTGTACATAGGTACATAGAATCAAATACACACGGACAAACACAGACGCTTCACCCCAATCAACATCATCATTAGCGGCGGGGAATAAATAACAATAATCACGCCATTTTACTATTGAGAAATCGTGAGGTGTTTTAATGTGATGGGTGAGTGAGTGTGTGTACTCTGCCTCATTTACTCTCACCTGAATCTGGGGGTAATGGTATACAGGTGTGTTTAATTATCAGTTGAAAGCTGTATTTATTTTCACTCATTATCATTATTGTTATTGTTATAGCTGTTAGCTATTGGTATTATTATTATTATTATTGTTACTGTTGTTATTATTATTATTAGATTATCATTATTATTATTAGATTATCATTATTATTATTTTTATCATTGTCATTATTATTATCAGTGCTAATAGTATCATCAGAGTTGAGTTACTAATAGATCTGGTCCCTAGTAGATCAGCAACCTATTAGGACTGGGGTCTGAATGCACAAGGGCGCATGACTATCCCTAAACGTGTTGGTTAGATTACAATGTGAATTATTATGAGTGGAGCCTAAGTGAACTGGGGACCTGAATGAACTGGGGACCTGAATGAACTGGGAGACCCCATATAACCAGCGACAGTCCACCACCACCACCACCCTATAAAAAAATTAGGTAATATTTAGTGACAGTGAATTTATTCCAGTTTACAATTGGGTGAACTGTAAACACACGCCTTCCATCGCATTAGTGTTGTTGTGACTTGAGCATATATACCTTGCCTATATAGAAGTTTAGTATAATATCCTGTCTATATGAGCAGGTTTAATTTTTCGCATATACCCTGTGTTATCAATTAGTGGATCTCTCTCTCTCTCTCTCTCTCTCTCTCTCTCTCTCTCTACATGTCTATTTCTGTCTCTACATGTCTATTATTGTCTCTCTCTGTCTTTCTCTCTCTACCTGTCATTATCTCTTCTCTCTCTCTCTCTCTCTACCTGTCTTTCTTTCTCCTCTCTCTCTCTCTCTCTACCTGTTTTTCTTTCTCCCCCCTCTCTCTCTACCTCTACAGTAGTTAATGTTGTGGTTATCCTTGCTGGAGTATAAACGCATCTTTCATCACTATTATTGACTCTCCATTAGAAGGGCAGCAGTCAGCAAATCAACACACCACGCAGTATCCAGTATTTTTGTCCTCCGGCAGCTCTCGTTCAAACAACCAGGTATATATATATTTTTTTTCTCTCTCTCTCTCTCTCTGTTTTCTATACACTCCATTTATCACATATCTTTGGTTCAGATCTCGGCTGGCGAGGTTTGATAAGGCGTAAGTATTTTTCCCGCCAAATTGGAGCGAATTCGTGTTATTTACAGATCGTGAGAAAAAATGTTCCCGCCAAAATTCCAGTGAAATGCCGTGTTATTTATACATCACGAGTACATTTTTTCAGCTAAAATTAGAGTGAAAATATGAGGTATTTACAAATTCTGTCTATAATGGCGTGTCCAAATTCGAGGGAAATTCCCACTTATTTACAGATTCGGTATACATTTTTTCCCGCCAAATTGGAGCAAAATTCCGTGTTTACAAATTTCCGAAATATTTTCCCGCCAGAGTTGAACAATAGTTACCTTTCTTTATAATATATCCACAACAAATTAACACAAGTATCTCAAAATAAAGTTGTACTGTACAATATCTACCTCATGTATTTCTACTTTCCCAAACAAACACTAAAAAAAAAAAAATTCTGGACGTGGGGTGATCGATGAATTTCAAAATGAACACTACGACTCCTGTTGTCTCTGTAGTGTAATCAAAATCCTTCATCCTTAGTGTCATATTTTCTCAACACAATTTTATATATGGATAATTTTTTGACTGTACATCCTAACTCCAGTTCTAATAACATTTTGGTCATCGTGTTTTTGTATCGGAGTTTAAGCGACGGCGTCAGATGTGTTCTATATATATATACAGGATATCTTGTTTACTTGTATTAGACCAAGAGCGAGTGTTGTGACAAGAGAGACATTTTCTGTTTATGGGTGAAGGTGTGTGTGTGTGTGCGTGTGTGTGTGTGTGTGTGTGCGTGTGTGTGTGTGTGTGTGTGTGTGTGTGTCAATGAGAGACTAAAGAGATATATTTTGAACAAGTTTTCCAATATTATAGTCTGGTGGTATTGCAGTGGGTGAAGTGATAGGTCTGAAAGATGGTGATGCCCTGTGTTATCTCTCTGTCTCTCTACCTGTCTGCCTATCTGTCTGTCTATCTCTGATCTGTCTCTTTACCTGCCTATGTCTGTCTGTCTGTGTCTACTTGTTCGTCTGTCTGTCTATATCTCTCTACTTGTCTGCCTGTTTGTCTATCTGTTTCTCTCTGTCTTACACAAACCTTTCTGTCTCTGTTCCTGTATATCTGTCTGTCTCGCTTTTATTTAAACCCCCTTTTCTCTTTCATTGTTTATCTTTCTGTCCATCTCACTGTCTCTGTCTGTCTCTCACTGTTTTTCTCTCTTTCTCATTGAGTTATTGATAACTGTCTGTCTGTCTGGCTTTCCCTGCCTTCCTCCTACCCTCCCTTCTGCCCTCTCGCCCTCTCCCTCCCATTCTTATACTACCTCTCGCTCTCTCCCTCTCCTTTTATCTTCCTTTCCCTTCCTCCTTCCCTCGCTCAATCCCTCCCTTTCTCCCACCCCCTCGTTCCTTCTCTCCCTCCCATCCACCTTCCCACCTACCTTCTTTCCCTCCCTCCCAACCCCCCTTCCTAGCCTTAATCTCTACCACTATCCAACCAATCTCTCCTACCCCCCACAGCACATAAACACAGGAGCAGATGGTGGTCAGTATCTCAACAGAATACTAACACTGACCCCAACATCTTGTCCAATACTGTGTGTGTGTGTGTATTCTCTTATAGCTCGCTCTCTCTCTCTCTCTCTCTCTCTCTCTCTCTCTCTCTCTCTCTCTCCCAGGCTGGCATCAGAAATGTGATTGGAACTCATCCCTAATGACCCTGATTTATCCCCCTGATTTACTCCGTAATCTGATTGGCCTAATATGATTGACCTGTGACTTACGACCCGTGATTTGAGACCTGTGACCTGTGAATTATGACCTGTGATTTGAAACCTGTGACTTATGACCTGTGACTCATGAGTTATGGCCTGTGACCTGTGAGTTATGACCTGTGACTTGATGATGAGTTATGACCTGTGATTTGAGACCTGTGACCTGTGAGTGACCTGTGATTTGAGACCTGTGAGTTATGACCTGTGACTTATGAGTTATGGCCTGTGACCTGTGAGTTATGACCTGTGTCTTATGAGTTATGGCCTGTGACCTGTGAGTTATGACCTGTGATTTGAGACCTGTGACTTATGACCTGTGACTTATGAGTTATGGCCTGTGACCTGTGAGTTATGACCTGTGATTTGAGACCTGTGACTTATGACCTGTGACTTATGAGTTATGGCCTGTGACCTGTGAGTTATGACCTGTGACCTGTGAGTTATGACCTGGGGCTTGAGACACACTTAAGATACGATTTAAAGACAGATATAGGAGGGAGGTAGGAAGGAGGGAGGGAGGAGGGATGAAGGAAGGAGGAAGGAAGGAAGGAGGGATGTAGGAAGTAGGGAGGAAGGAAGGAGGAAGGAAGGAGGAGGAAGGGAGGGAGGTAGGAAGGAGGGAGGGAGGGAGAAGGAAGGAAGGAGATGGAAAATAGGAAGAAGGAAGGAAGGAGGGAGGAAAGAAGGAATAAGGGAGGTAGGTAGGAAGGAGGACGGGAGGAAGGAAGGAGAACGAAAGGATGAGGAAGGTAGGAAGTAGGAGGAAGGAAGGAAGGAAGAGGGAGGGAGGGAGGTAGGAAGGAAGCAAGACCCACTAGCAGCTTCTCAGACAAGACCCTGGCCAGCTGGTACTAGAGTATAGCCTTAACTACGTCACAGATATCCGACCACCAATTTCAACTACGTCACCTAAATACACGTTGGGCAATAGTTAGAAGAGAATATATAAGTAAATCTTCCTCCTCCTCTTCTTCCTCCTTCTCATCTTCCTCCTCCTTCTTCTCATCTTCCTTCTTGTCCTCCTCTTCCCCCTCCTTCATGTTCTCCTACTCCTCTTCCAACCTCTTCTCATCTTCCTCCCCCTTCTTCTCATCTTCCTTCTTGTCCTCCTCTTCCTACTTCTCTTCCCCCTCCTTCATGTTCTCCTACTCCTCTTCCAACCTCTTCTCATCTTCCTCCTCCTTCTTCTCATCTTCCTTCTCCTTCTCATCTTCCTTCTTATCCTCCTCTTCCTACTTCTCTTCCCCCTTTTTATCTTCCTCCTCCTTCTTGTTTTACTGATCTTCCCCCTTCTCTTCCTCCTCCTCCTTTACCTCCAATCCCTCTTCTCCCCTCTTCCTTCTCCTCCTCCATCGTCTCCAGCACGGGATGGGCGGGAAGAAAGACCTCCTCCCTCCCTCCCTCTCTCACTATTCAATATATGAGGGGCCGTGACTCTACCTCACCTCCCAACCAATAATGATCATGACCTTAGCCATCACTCACGCTAACCTAACCTAACCTTAACACTGATGCTACAAATAGTCTTAACACACAGACAGACAGGTGGTGGTGGTGGCGTTGTTGTTGTTGTTGTCGTTGTTGTTGTTGTTGTTGGTGGTGGTGGTGGTGGCGTTGTTGTTGTTGTTGTTGTCGTTGTTGGTGGTAGTGGTGGTGGAGTTGTTGTTGTTGTTGTTGTTGTTGTTGTTGTTGGTGGTGGTGGTGGTGGTGGTGGTGGCGTTGTTGTTGTTGTCGTTGTTGTTGGTGGTGGTGGTGGCGTTGTTGTTGTTGTTGTTGTTGTTGTTGTTGTTGTTGTTGTTGTTGTTGGTGGTGGCGTTGTTGTTGTTGTTGTTGTTGTTGGTGGTGGTGGTGGTGGCGTTGTTGTTGTTGTTGGTGGTGGTGGTGGTGGTGGTGGCGTTGTTGTTGTTGTTGTTGTTGTTGTTGTTGGTGGATTTATTGACGATGAATTGAAACACATTCGTTCTATTGCACATAAACTTGGGTACCCTTCTGTGTTTGTTGATCGTTGCTTCAAAAGGGCTAAAAAATCTTTTCATTCCTCTCAAACCAGACAAGTTCCTACACTTAAGAACATTTTGACTCTGCCCTATCGTAATGAATTTGTCCCGTTAGTTCGGTCCCTCAAGCTTCTAAATATTAATGTTGTTTTCAAGTATGACTCCACCATTACCAATATGGTAATAAGGAATAGCCCATGTTTGAATGTAAATGGAAGTGTTTATTGTATTCCATGTAGCAAATGTAATTGTAATTATGTAGGTCAGACAGGAAAAACACTGCAGCTTAGAATCAAACAACATAAGTATAATATCAGAACTGCATCTGAAAGCAGTGCCTTGTTTGTTCATGTTAGGAATAATAATCACCCCATTGCTTGGGAAAAAAGCTTAGAAGTATTCAAATCATCTTGTGTCACAGAAAGACTTCTTGTTGAAGCTAGTTTGATTAAGGAATTAAAATCAATAAACCTTAGTGATGGTCAGTTCAAAACTGATAATATGTTACATAAATTTATTTGTCAGTGGCCCATGGTTAAAAATGCTTTGAAAACCTTTGATCTAGATGTATGATAGTTATTTTGTGGGCCCCCTATTTTCTGACCTGACTTGTCTAGTCACGTCACCTCCCTTCTCTTAAGCTCCTCTACGTGTGTTGGTGTGGGGATTAGTGGATGTCATCATTTTGACCTGACCTCATGTTTTTAGGTCACCCTGTATATTTAAGCCTCTCTCTGTCCATGTAATCCAGTTGCCTCTGAAGATGTCTTGAATAAAGACGAAAGCTAAGGTACTCCGTTGTTTCCATCTTCCGTGATTTTATCAAGATATATATATATATATATATATATATATATATATATATATATATATATATATATATATATATATATAAATTTTGGGGGCAGGTAATTAGGTCATGGTGTTGGTACTTACAGTAATTATCATAATAAAAGAATAACCATTACGACACGAGTACGGATATATAAATATATATATATATATATATATATATATATATATATATATATATATATATATATATATATATATATATATATATATATATATATATATATATATATATATATATATATATATATATTTTTTTTTTTTTTTTTAGGCACTTATTCCTCGCGCGCCAAACACCACTGT